CCGGTTTTCTGTGTGTTATGGTGTGTTGTGTGTGTCGCTGTGTCGTGTGTGGGTGTCGTCGTGTTGTGTGTTGCGTTGCGCTGCGTGCGTGCTCGGTGCTGCGTGTGATGTGTTATGTGTATGGTGTGTGTGTGTGTGTGTGTGTGTGTGTATGTGTCTGTGCGTGTCGCTGCGTGCGTGCCCGTGTGCACGTGCCGGTGTCGTGCGGTGCCATCATTTCACGTGTCGTGACTGCTAGTGTGTGTGGGGGGGGAGTGTATGTTCAGTAAGTACTGTAGTACTAGTGGGAGCTCTCCGGCTCACTGGCCTCATGTTAACAGCAACATCACCGCACAGGAAAAATTTACATTTCCTTGACTTTTCGTTGCAGAAAATGTACCACCAGCCTCACCCCCGGGAACATGGAGTATAGAAGATAGTTCTGATCGCATATAATACAGTTCTCTCCCTCCACCCCGCACCGGCGCGCGCCTCTCTCTCCTCTCATCTACTCACTGTCGCGCAGCGCTCTCTTCGCTTCTTTCGCTCTGCGCGTCTCTTGCTCCCTCTCTGTCTTGTCGCTGTTCTTTCGCTCTCTCTCTCTCTCTCTTTTTCCGTCTCTATCTCCGCTCTCCCCCCATTCTTCCTTCACTTCCTTCTCCTCCTCCTCCTTCACTTTCTCTCCTCTCCCTTCTCTCCTCTCCTCCTCCACCTCTTCCTCCCGTCCTCCTCTTCACTACTTCCTCTCCCTGTTCTCCTCCTCCTTTCTCCTCTCCCTCCTTCTCTTCGTCCTCATTCCCTCCTCTCTTTTCCTCCTCCCCCTTCTCTTCGTCTTCTTATCCACTCCTCCTTATTATTCCTCCCACTTCTTGCTCTCTCTCCCTGCCTCTCTCCCCTCCTGCTCTCTTCCCCCCTGCTTTCTCTCCCGATCTCTGCTCTTCTCCCCTGCCTCTCTCTGCTCTCTCACCTTCTGCATCTCTCTGCTCTCTCCCATCTTGCGTTGTCTGCTCTCTTCCCTCCCTGCTCTCTCCCCTTCCTGCCTCTACCCCCCTGCTCTCTCTCTCATCCCTGCTCTCGTCCTGCCTCGTCTCTCTTCCTGCCTCCCCTGCCTCTCTTCTCTCTCCCTGCTCTCCCCTGCCCACTCTCTCTCTCTCTCTCTCTCTCTCTCCCTGCTCTCCCCCTGCTTTCTCTCTCTCTCTCCCTGCTCTCTCCCTGCTCTATCTCTCTTCGCTGTCTCCCCCCTGCTCCCCCTGCTCTCCCCTTGCTCTCTCTCTCTCGCTCTCTCTCTCCCTGCTTTCTCTCCTCCTGCTCTCCCCCTGCCATCTCTCTGCTCTTCTCTTCCTGCTCTCTCTGCTCTCTCCCCTCCTGCTCCCACTGCTCTCCCTTTCTCTCTCTCTCCCTCTCTCTGCTCTTCTCCCCCTGCTCTCTCTCTCCGCTCTCTCCCCCTGCTCCCCCTGCTCTCCCCCTGCCATCTCTCTCTCCGCTCTCTCCCTCCTGCTCTCTCTCTCTCTCTCTCCGCTCTCCCTCCTGCTCTCTCTGTACAGGGATCTTGACGCGTCTACATTTACCCTGTACTGCCACCACTCCCACACGCAGCTACATAGCGTCTATAGACAGCATCTAAGAGAGAAGCACACATCCAGGCTCCGGTTAAGCAGCCATGCTATGCGGGGATGCACTTCAAAGCAACGGTGCAGGCGCGCACACCTATTTAAGCAGCTTAGACGTTGATCCGGATATAAGCCCAGAATTAGTCATCTGCTTCATGCATGGATTAAACGGTCACTGCAGTGAAGGGGGGAGGTGCCGGGCGAAGATAGCTCTGGGGGTGTAGGTAAGGTGACCGATGGCAGTCGCGACAAACAATCGTGACAGAATCCTGAAGAACAGTTTATATCGTCGCAGCGAATAGTTATTTCAGTCGATAGAGGGAGACACCCGCGACCACACGGTGTCGCCACCGTCGCTAGGCGCAGCTGCGATGCGTTAGACAAAAAACGAGTCATTAAGTCTTTGAGCTTAAAGCGGCCGATTTAATGTCCTGGGAGAGTGCCAGGAAAAAACTTAATTACTATATATACTACGTGTATGCTGCAAACGTAAAAATTACGCTGAACAAAATTGCCACTACTACTAATACTGCTGCTACTGCTGCTGCTACCGCTACTGATACTATTGCTGCCGCTGCTACTTCTACTGCTGATGTTGCCGCTACTGATGCTGCTATCGCTACTGCTGCTGCTGCTACTAATGCTATTACCGTTGCTACTACTACTACTACTGCTGCTACTGCTACTACTGTTACTGCCATTTCTGCTGCTGTTGTTGTTGCTTCTGCTGCTACTAATGCTATTACCGTTGCTACTACTACTACTACTGCTGCTGCTGTTGCTGCTGCTTCTGTTGTTGTTGTTGTTATTGCTGCTGCTGCAGCTGCTGCAGCTGCTGCTGCTTCAGCAGCAAATGAGCTTCTAATGAATGCCAATGTTTGATGTAATTCATATGGCTGGCAAAAAACCGCGAGCGTTTCGTATGTTAACGAAGAGTGAGAGCGATAGTTGTGAGAGAGACAGCTGCTAGTGCTAGTGCTATCCGACAGCCCTGTTTTGCTACTGCTAATGCACATTCTAGCTCTCTCTAACTTAGAGTGGCAATTGACTTATGCCATTATTTTCACTGTAAATACTGCGCAGCATTCTCAGAGCGTGCCTGCCTTGATGTATCAGTGTTATGGTAGGATTAGGGTTTGGTTTGGCTTACAGCATATATATAGGGCTATATCCTATTATATATAGGGTTAGAGCTATAGTTGGATTAGAGTTAGGGCTAAGGTTAGGTTTTGGGTAAAGATTAGAATAGAGTTGAATGAGTTTTTGGGTTAGAATACGGTTAGGTTGTGGTTAGGATTTGGGGTTATAAGTGGAATAAGGTTAGGGCTAGGGTTAGAGATAGGGTTGGCTTTGGAATTGAGTTAGAATTAAGGTTATATGCTAGCCTTATCCTAAATAAAACGGGCTGAAATCGTTACGGTTAGGTGTCTAGCAAGAATGGTTAAGAAAACAAAAACAATAATTAACCCCAACCCCGACAACAACAACAACAACAACAACAACAAAAACAAAAACAATAAAAGCAACAGCAACAATAAAAACAATAATAAGAACAACAACAACAACAACAACAACGCCAACAACAACAACAGCAACGCCAACAACAACAACAACAACAAAAACAACAACAACAACAACGACAACAACAACAACAACAACAACAACAACAACAACAACAACAACAACAACAACAACAACAACAACAACAACAACAACAACAACAACAACGACAACAACGACGATAACAACAACAACAACGACGACGATAACAACAGCAACTATAACGTAGAAACAAGTTCCTCAACACTACAACGTTAACTTCCTGAGCTGCGTGGTACGATTTCTACAACTAGCAAAGCTTTATAACGGAGCGTCTATAAACATATAAACAGAGATATGGGACGATGATGATGATGAGGATAACAGCAGGCAAAGCAATATAAATGTCACTATCTCATCTAATCCACATCCACGAATTACTGAACAGCCTCTGTATACGCTGACGGCGTGTAAGAAGACCTGAGATAAACAACCGATCATAAACAGTTTAATTAACGAGGCGGTAGCGGGGGTGATGCCCCCCAATCATCTATGATCCGGGCACTTCTTCTTCTACTTCTTCTTCTTCTCACCTTTCCTTCATCTGGGGAATTAGCTCTCACCTCTCCTCTACATCCGGGAACTTCCTCCCACCTGTACTACACCCGGGCAACCGCGACTCACTCTGATCGCACGACGCCGGATTCCGTCCTAGGTCATGTAACCGGATCGCGTGACGTCACGTGCCGTGATGGCTTCGCGTGGAGGCGTTAGCGTCGGCTGCCTGCTGGCGCCCTCTATATCGCAGCATCCGGCAGTAGGTACTGCGGATTCGGCAATGCTCACACGACCGCACAGCGATGATGACCGCGCTGGTGGCGCCCCCTGTATTCTTGCCGAGAAAGTTCGAATCGCGTCTTGTCTTTTGTGTCGTCACCGCAGTGCAGCAGTGTGTGCGTTCAAGTCCTCAGCGGCGTCCGTGTGTGCAGCCGCTCAGTGGTGCGGACGAGGAGCCAGTGTGTGCCTGCCTTCGTGCCTCCAGTCTCCCAGCCTGCAGCGCTCCAGCTTCTTACGGCTCTACTACGATCACTGCAGGGCAGCATCGGATCACGCGCGACAGCGTTTTTGCCGCCGCGAGCGCTGCGATCGCGTCTGGTGAGTGTTGTTATCACAGGTGCTGGTACGTGCTTGCTAACAACACCGGACCGGATAACACCTCCGCAATCCGGTCTGTTGTGTATCACTCCGCGCCGCCAGCAAAAAAAAAACTATTAATACGTTGTTTACGTGACGTAATTAGATATAGAAGTTCCACCCTCTCTGTGCACATGCGCATGCGCGTCAAGGCATCGACGGATCACAGAGACAGCCTGGCTGTCAAAAGCCGGAAAGTATCAAATAATCATATAGCGGCTGCGGTGGTAAGAAAGGAGGGCAGGCAGCAGGGGACAGGATGGCGGGGGTGGTGGGAAAATATAGCGTGCAGGGCGAGGGGAACAGTATATGGGATGTAGAGAGAGAAAGAATGTGTATAGGATGCTGAGAGGGTACAGGATGCTGGGAGGTTATCGGGTGCTAGGGAAGGGAAGGAGGGTATATATGCTGTTGGGGAAAGTAGTGATGGTGAGCAATGGAGGGATGGATGGAGGGAGGGAAGGGGGGGGGAGTGAGGGTGTATAATTCACGGGGTACAGCAGTAAACACACACACACACACACACACACACACACACACACACACACACACACACACACACACACAC